ATCTATGTACTCCATCTCCCCCTTAGAAGAAAGCCTCAACGGACTTCTTGAGCACCGCCTTCTTTAATTCAACCAAAGTTGGATCAAGACCTTGCTTGGCCTTCACATCTGTCATGAAAGACAATAATGATCCATTATGAATGGTAACATCACCCTTAAAAACTGAACACCCAATCGGGCCAATCTATGAACATCTCGAACCAACTATTTCTTATTTTCTTCAATAGGAGCAACACTACCCATAGATAACCGACTAAGAACATCCAACACCACATTCGCTTTACTGGGGTGATAGAGAATGCTCAAATCATAATTATTCAATAACTCAAGCCACCTTCTCTGGTGAAGATTTAGATCCTTGATGTGAGGCCAAAAATATATATTTATAATCATTATTTGCCTCACATTTATTATTTATATATGTCCTTTTTGAGCATTAAATTTATGGATTGTGCTAAATAGTGTATTTTATTTGTAGGAGTATATTGACGTAAAGTTGAAGAAGTTTGGAGCTAAAACGAATTAAAGATGAAAGATTACAGAAGAAAATTAAGCAGGAAGCTTAATGGATTAAATTGAATATTATATTCATATTTATATGTAGATAGCCAAAGAACGCCAATTGATATTGGCCTTGCCACTGGCAGCAATTGAAGGAACAAGAACGTGAGGCGGTTCGGCAATACAGTTTCACGTGAAAAAGAAGAGAACCAAATTTCGTTTGGTTTTGGATTCCTAATTTGCTTTGGAATCAATTATTTTATTTAGGCTTTACTACATCTATAAATAGTCCATAGAAATAATTATTGGAGGATTACATTAGAGGAGATCAATCAGAGGGCATCAAGTAAAAAGTCGTCAATATTTTTTAGGGATTTTTTCTTCTTGTTATTTTCTTAGAGATTAGTGGCTAAACGCCCTTGTTCTGGGGCTGTAGCCACGAATTAAATGTCGATTATTTGAGGTTTATGAATTAATTCTTGGTTGTCATTATAAGTTACTTGTATATTCTTATTTTAGTATTTCTTGACTGGCCATCTAGAGATAGATATATTGTCTAATCTTAAAATTGAGAGAGGAGAGGTTAGATAGACCAAAGAATATAGAGAGCTGGATCGATCTATTTGATTGAGGTGATTTGTGTTTAGGAGTGACACCCGGACGAACAATTTGCTTGGTTACGAAACAGGATGAAATATAAATACTCGCCAATTAGTCTATTTATCCCCGCTCAACAATGTAGTTAGATAGCTAATTGGAGTAGGCGACTAGAGGTGTGTAGCTCGACTCATACAATTAACCCTGTAAACCAGTAACTTGACAACTAAAATTAGTTCTAAGCCAAGAATATGATACATGAGATTCATTACATGCTGCAGCCCTGGGATTTTCCAACTATTGTAAGTAATTTTATTATTTTGTTCTTGCATTCTTTTCTTTTGACACTCGTAAATAAATAATTAGACCAATATAATTTAGTAAAAATAGTTAATTGACAAGTCATTTGGGTTCGATAATCTGGTTCTTTTAAGAGCCACTATATTACTTGCGCGACCACGTACACTTGCTTGTGCAATTGGGAGCAACAATCCTTCTGGTTAAACACATATTGAAAATTCTTGTGGTCGGTAAAGACATCCACATTAACACCATACAAATAATGTCTCCAAATCTTTAAGGCAAAAATAATTGTCTCTAGTTCAAGGTCATGGATAGGATAATTCGTCTTATGAATCTTAAGTTGCCTTGAGGCATAGGAAATAACTTTCTCATTTTGCATAAGCACACATCCTAGCCCAATTCTCGAGGCATCACAGTAAACCAAAAAACCATCAGTCCCTATCGGTAAAGTCAACACCGGAGCAAAAGTAAGTCTATCTATCAATTCTTGAAAACTATTTTCACAACCTTGGGACCATATGAACTTAGTCTTTTTTGAGTCAATCTTGTCAATGGAGAGGCAATCGAATAAAACCCCTCAACAAACCTTTTACAGTAACCCGCCAAACCCAAGAAGCTCCTAATATTCGAAGGGGATAGAGGTCTAGGCCAACTCTTAACCGCACCCATCTTCTTATGATCAACCTCAATACCCTTATTTGAAACAATATGGCCAAGGAAAGCTACGGACCTTAGCAAAAACTCACACTTGCTAAACTTTGCAAAGAGTTGTTGGTCCTTGAGAATTTACAACACAATCCTCAAACGATCAATATGCTCATCCCTACTTCTCGAATAGATCAATATATATCATCAATGAAAATAATCACAAACGTGTCAAAGTATTGTCTAAACAGTCTATTAATTAAATTCATAAATGCCACTAGAGAATTAGTCAAACCAAAGGACATCACCAAAAACTCATAATGACCATATCGGGTTCTAAAAGCCATTTTCATAATGTCATCTTCCTTCACCCTCAATTGGTGATAGCCCGATCGGAGGTAAATCTTAGAGAAGTAACTTGATCCTTGAAGTTGGTCAAACAAATCATCTATCTTTTGAAGGGAATATTTATTCTTAACGGTAATCTCATTCAATTGTCAGAAGTCAATACACATACGAAGAGAACCATCCTTTCGAACAAACAAAAATGGAGCCCCCATGGAGAGATACTCGGTTGGATGAAACCCTTATCCAACAAATCTTTCAATTGTTCTTTCAACTCCTCTAGTTCTGTCGGAGCCATTTGGTAAGCAGGAACAAAAATAGGTTGCGTATCTGGGAGAAGGTCAACACCGAAGTCTATTTCCCTTTCGGGAGGAATACAGGGTAGATCATGTAGGAACACTTACAGAAACTAATTCACAACGGGGACCGACTCAATAGTAGGGGTTTAGGAATCAACATCCCTCACCCTAACTAGATGGTAAATGCAACCTTTAGCAATCATCTTTCTAGCTTTAAGACAAGAGACAAACCGACCCTTAGGCATAGAATTTCCCTATTTCCATTCTAAGACAGGCTTATTTGAAAACTGAAACTTGACTACACGAGTTATACAATCAATAGAGGCATAATATGAGTGCAGTCAATCCATACCAAGGATAACATCAAAATCTAGAATCTCAAGCTCTACCAAGTCAACAAGATTAACTCTATGGGATGAGGAAACGAGACATTTTCTATAGACCCTCTAAGCCACAATAGAACCACCAACAGGAGTAGAGACAGAAAAGGGATCTAACAACACATCGAGAAGAACATCAAACCTCATAGCCACATATGGCGTCACAAAAGACAAGGTAGCACCGGGATCAACATCAATTTGAAAGACTTTCAACATACCTGTAACCACATCGGGAGAACCGTCTTGCTCACCACGAGTTTGAAGTGCATATAATTGGTTTTTCTTAGGAGTATTTGAACCCGAACCACTTGGACTGGATGAAGTATTTGGTTGAGCCCTTCGGTGATTATCTCCTTTATTCTTAGAAACTAAAGGACAATCTCTTATCGTGTGGTCCATCTAACCATAACCAAAACAAGCATTAGAACCCGGTAGACATTTACCCTTATGCTTTGTTCCACACTTAGCATAAGTAGGCAATAAGGACCCACTACCATTCCTTCCTTGAGGCTTAAGGTTAGAGACCTTATCTTTGTTGAACCTAGTAGGAGCATTGGAGGAACCTTGACTGGAAAACCTTTGTCAAAAATCTAGGACGACCATGTCCATCGGACCTTGCACGAGAGAAATTATCATCACCAGTTTTAGCCCTCTTTGCCTCCCTAGAATTTTCCTTAAGTTTCTCCTCTTCGATATGTTAAGCATGAACCATGAGATGAGAAATCTCCATGTCATTAACAAGCATGGTGGTACGGCAGACCTTAATAACCATATCGGATACACCTGAAATAAACTTACTCATCTTTGCCCTACGATCGGCAACCATTGAGGGAGCATATCAAGACAGTTTTGTGAACTTCAAAGCATATTCCATCACACTCATACTTCCTTGACAAAGGTTGATCAACTCAAGAACCTTTGCCTCTCCCATCTCAAGGGGAAAAGAACCTATCAAGGAAAACAACCTTGAACTTTTCCCAATCAACAATACCGACATCTTTCGGTCTCTCTTCATTCCATTGACTGAACCAAATATGAGCAACACCCTTAAGTTGATGCTAACTCCACCTTTTCCATCGACGTCACTCCCATGATCATCAACACCTTGTAAACCTCATCAATGAACTTGATATTCATAGCACAAGGTTTAGGAAGATCCTAGGATGTCTCATAAGCCACGTCGAGTAGATTCTTGTTCATGAGTGTGAAGTGTGCCAAATTTATGAATGAAAGTCTACAGGATGTTTAGGAAACTCCACTTCTTTCATTAGTCTAAAGTCGTGCAATACAGTGTACCTCTAGGTGTCTTTATCTCCTAACCCCTATTTATGTTTTTCAGAATATCCCTCCACGAAGGAATCACGTGAGAAAGAATAGGAATGTTCATGAAAATTTGAGGTAAGAGGTTACCCGAGTGCCGGTCAACCCTTTGGCTGAGCTATTGACTAATGATGAGTTCTGAGCCGCATTTCATGCATTGGCCCAAGCTATGATGGCTCAAGCAAATAGAGAGGTGGTGGCTCCCGTTAACCCAAGGGTGGATACGGTGACAACAAGGGTGAGGGACTTTATTAGAATGACTCCTCCAGAATTTCATTAGTCTAACGTTGAGAAAGATCCTCAAGAGTTCATTGATGAGATTTATAAGATAGTGGAAATTATGGGTATTATGTCAGTTGAAAAGGTGGAATTGGTCGCTTATCAACTTAAAAGTGTTGCTCAATTTTGGTTCAACCAATGGAACTAAGAGAGGGTAGTTGATGAGGGTCCTCTTGATTAGGAGAAATTTAAGGTTGCTTTTCTTGATAGGTTATTTCCCCTTGAAATGAGAGAGGCAACATTATTTGAGTTTATTAATCATCCTCAAGGAGGTATGAGTGTAAAGGAGTATGCTTTGAAATTCACACAATTGTCTAAATATGTTCCAACTATGGTTGCCGATCCAAGGGCAAGGATGAGTAAGTTTGTATCGAGTTCTTCCAACTTAGTGGTCAAAGAATGCCTAACCGCCATGCTTATTAAAGAGATGGATGTCTCCCGTTTGAAAGTGCATGCACAACAAATAGAAGAAGAAAAGCTTAAGGAGAAAACTAAGGATTCAAAGAGGGCAAGAAGGGATGATGGTGAATTCTCACATTCAAGGTTCGATGGAAGTGATCATTCTCAAGGTAAGGGAGGTAGTGAAAAATGTGGCCCAAGTGCCGGAAGTGTGGGAGAAGACATAAGGGTTCTAACCGGTTCAAACGCGTGTTTTGGTTGTGGAAATACGGATCATAAAATAAGGAATTGTCCTATGGTTGCTAGGAATGAGGGAGATAATCGTCAATGGACTCCACCCTACCATTCCTCCGGTCCTAATGGTGGTCGGAAACAAGATAGGTTCTATGTTTCTCATACTCAAGAAGATCATGAGGTTCCCCAGATGTGGTAATTAATAAGTTAAGTTCTTTTAGCTTGTGGTTATGTATTGCTTTATGTTGATTTTTTTGTTGGATATGGTAAGACTCCATATATGGAGATTGTGTTTGGAGTAATCCTTGAAAATCCTTATGGAAACTTCTTAAGTGTTTACTTGTATCAATGGTTTACTGGTTGTTAAGAGTTTGGTGTTATGTTTGGGATTGAGGGAGATGGAATCAAAAAGACAAATGGGGTTTGCTCCCAAGGGGGAGATACTGTGCTTCATGGTTGGTACGTGAGTAGAACTATGTTGGTTTTGGAAGAGTTCCTTGTTATGGTTTGGTGGGTGAAAGTTTGGAGGCAATGTGACTTCTTAGTATCCCTATCTTTTTCCTTTATCTTTGAGTGTAGCTTGAGGTCTTAGCCCCACATGGTTCATTCTTTAGGATTCTCATGTCTTAGTCATTCTCATGTTTCCTCATGTATGCATGCGCATGGAAAAATTGATTTTTCAAAAATATGATTTTGTTTAATTGGTTGCTTCATGTTTATGTGCATTGAGTAAAATCTTACATGTTATTCTTATGAAAAGATGTTTTTTAAAAAGTATGATTTAGCTTAGAGTCGAGGTTCCTCCTTGGTTATGTGCATTTTGATGAATTTCCATTGATGATTGCGTTGTTAGTTTATCTCCTACTTTTTTGTGCTAGTTTGAGTTCCATTAGTAGACGAATATTCCCAAGGGGGATATTGTAACACCACAGATTCAAAAAGGGAGAAAAAAATTTAGTTTTTCACAGATTTGGTGTTATCACTAACGACGCCATCCACGGATCATAGGTGGAATGACGGTCTGTAGGTGGTGGCATGGATAGCAAGTTGAGATTTTCCAAAATGTCAAGTTTCAGTACTTTTTCGATGGCTCACCAGGATGGTCTGTTGTTCAATGTACGAATTGTAGGTAAGGTTCGTAGGTGAGTCCCAAGACTTAGAATAATTTTGAGGTAAAATTTGGGACCTACGGTGGTGGTCCACGGTCCATCAATGGACCCACGGACTGTAGGTCTAGTTCGTCGTTTGGGGGTCCACATTTAGTGGTCTTTGAAACCAAGGATGGTGGACTATGACGGTCCGTAGGTGGAACCACGGACTGTAGGTCCCCCACCGTCATTGGTGGCGTCAATTATTTTTAGGGGCTTTTAGAACCCCTATATAAGTATTTCAACCCCAAATTTTACCTGATTGAAATCATTCTCTCAAATTCCTAAAAGAAGGACAAGTCTTCCTCTCAAAATATTTCTCCTCTAGAAAGCTTGAAGAAGAAGAGATCAACCTAGGGTTTCAAGTCAAGTCTCCAATTCCACCATTAAAGGCAAGATTTTGGCATTGAGGTATGATTGTTTTCATCCATGGAGCCCTTTCTTCCATGGAGTTAACAAATTCTCCAATTTACAAAGTTAGAATTCTCCAATTGAGTTAGGGTTTTCTTCTATGTCATGGGTTCTTTCAATGTTGATTTATTTGATTCATTTATGAACTTTTATGCATGAATTGAAGTAATTGTATGTTTTAAGTTGATTTCTCATGAACCCATGCATAACCCATGTTTTCTAAGCTATGTTAATGTATTGTGGGTCTTGAACTATGAAAGATGAATTTATGAAAATATGCATGTCTTCTCTTTATGAAATTAATGTAAATGAATTTGAAGATTCTTTGAATTTGAAAACATGATGAAGCTTATGAATTATTGAAACGAATGCACGTTCTTGAAAGTATGTTTATGACTCAAGAAGGGTTATAGATAAGATTGTCTATATATTCTATAAAGTTTGGCCACATGACATGAATGACATCTAGATTTGGCTTCAATATTTTTTGAGCAATTTTCTGAAATTGTCTTATGTACTAGATAGCTTTGAGACGATGTTAGACTTCCGCATTTCTCTATAATACTTTTATATGTTGAAACTATCTTTTAAATCTTTTAAACTCTATGATCTTGTATGATGCACGCTATATGAGTTGTATGGGGCCTCTTGGGGTTCTATACGTCATGTTACACCTAGGGGCTACCTTGGGTCCTCACAACTAATGATAATGATGATAATAATAACAATAGAAGCAGCAGCAACGACAACAACAACAACAATAATAATAATAATAATAATAATAATAATAATAAATAAGTATAACAACAACAACAACAAAAATAATATTAATAATAATAATAATAATCATATATATATATATAAGAGAACCCTAGGCCCGCCTACGTGGCACCACCACAAACCAGAATTCCCTTTGAATTAATTTATTTCCTAAATTAGCCTTCCCTTTCATGAATAGTTGTGACTTTTACGGAAAGTTGTGGCTTTTACGAAAAGTTGTAACTTTTATGAGCAGTTGTGACTTTTACGAAAAGTTATAACTTTTATGAAAAATTGTGACTTTTATGAAGAGTTGTGACTTTTATGAAAAATTGTGACTTTTACGAAAGGTTGTGACCTTTTCGAAGGGTTGAAACTTTTTCAAAGAGTTGTGATCTTTCCGATAAGACACAATAAGCATTTGTTCACACTACCTTTTGTTGTATATAAATAGAGGCATTTCCTACCACTATTATTTGTAGGTTTTTTCCGCTATAGGGTAGTCGAATTCAAATACATGAATTAATCTTCTTATAAAGTTTGTTTCATTCCTCAAAGTTTGCTTTCTCCTATTTCATGAAGCTTAATCTTTACTATAAGTCGTAGTGATTCATGTAACTATGGCAATTTCTTTTTGCTATTATGGTGCCTTTTTTAAAGTATGTTAAAACTTTCAGCAAGGATGATTGAAAATTGATCTTCTCTTTTGTCCCTTTCTACAGGTTTCTTCATATAAACAAAGAAAATCTATTTTAATTGCAATGCGACATTACTTCTCTTGCACCTCTCAGTCCAAACCTCATAATGCTACTGAAATTGTTGAATTCATTGCATTTGGTTCTTTAATAAACAAAACTTTTATTTCTACCACTATTATTTGTAGGTTTTTTTCGCTATTAGGGAGTCGAATTCAAATACATTATTCAAGCTTCTTATGAAGTGTGTTTCATTTTTCAAAGTTGTCTTCTTCCTATTTCATGAAGCTTAATGTTTTACTGTAAGATATATTGATTCATGTATATTGCAATTTCTTTTTGCTATTTTGGTGACTTTTTAACTCTGTTAAAAATTTCTATAAGGATGATTGAAAATTTATATTCTTTGTTGTTCCTTTCTAGAGGTTTCTTCATATACTTCTTGGGAAAATTGCTTGTGGGTTGTGCTATATTTGATATCACACAACAATAAATATGTGATAACTAATACGGAACCAATGACGAAGTTTGTTAAAAGAACCAAACAGATCACTCTCTTGCTTGCCACAGTTAGTATATTATTTTGATTGTTTTTTCTTAGGTATAAACATTTTGTATGTCATGGCACTCTTCCTAGAATATAAGTATAGAGACCATTAGTCTACTACTTTTATCGCAAGTTAACTAATTTGCCATATTTCTTGGTCTCTTCTTTTTGGGCATAATAAGAGATCAAGTTTTCTTGAAACTAACAAATGTCCAAAATACACTATAACAAAAATATTTTTTATCGGCAATAAATATGCACATTTACGAAGAGTGCTAGAGACTTTACCGACATTAATTAATTGTTATTAGATTCAATGTTGCTATAGACTTTAGCGACATTTGTAGAGAGTATTAATTGCTTCTGAAAATTTATATTTAGCGACAATTAAGCTATTAATTGCCGTTAAAGATCATTTTTGTTGTAGTGATAACTCTTTCTTTTGATCAAGTTTTTTTTTTTTTTTTATAATGAAGTAATAACTCTTTCTTTTAGCTTCTTTCAATTTAATTTGTGAACTGTAAACTTGAATACGGCTCGACAGACGATCTTTTTGAAATATATGTTGAGCAACATACTTTTTTCTTCTTGATTGTTAGGAAAGTAAGGTCGTCTTTATTATTATTTGTGGGTATTTGTGAGTTCAAGTGCTCACAAAATTATGTTGTAAGATTTTAATATGTTATGTGTCAAAATTTTGGTTTAGAATATCCAGTTAATAACAGTTCCATTCAGATGCCACCTACTGCTTGGTTGATAATTTCATTAATTCTTTGTAACTGCATAATATAACCATAACAATAACTATGGTTCAATTCCAAATAAGTTGAGGCCGGTGATATGATACTCCAAATAAGTTGGGGCCAGTGATACGAAACTCCAAATAAGTTGGGGCCGGTGATACGAAATCTAAGAAATAGTAAGGAGTATTCCAAGATAATGAGGAAAACCATTTATGATACTAACAATTTTAGTGTCATTTGTAACATATACATGATACAACATACTATAATAAAAAAGAGAATGATGGAGGTTCATAAGAAAGGAGTTGAAGGTTCTCCATTTGAATTTAGTTAATTATCTTCTTGACAATATAGTGTATGTATCGAAAATACGAATATTACCGAATGATCATATGTAAGCTTAATAAAATAGTTCAATCCCATGCGAAGCACGAATAATTTAAGAAGAAGAAGAAGAATATAAATTAATTTTTGAAATATATTTACCAACTATGAGTGTGGGTCGATCACAAACAGAATATAGAAGACTTTTGTCAATAGCAAAATTTAACTTGATAGTCGTTATCTAAAAAGAGGGACTTTGAATTGAGATTAAAAAAAAGAATAACAATAGCTAGGAACTAAATATATATTGTATTAATATTTTTAGAAGTAACCAGGAATGTGTTCTCCTTGATTTCATAACATAGCAACAATATTTTACTAGTGATTTATTTCAATTTTAGCATGCAAGATCGGTAAGTTAGGAATCTCCTAAGTGGTTGGTTTCCCAAATAGGAAATTTGACCACGCAACATAATCGGTATACCGGCATGTGATTTACTAACCCTTTCCCTTGACCCCATATTAACTCTCACAGACTTGGTTCTACTTATAGATTACAGTTGTAGTCACCA